CGTATTTTGTAGCATTATTTCTAACTTTTGCAATTTTCGAAAAATCTGCCAGTTCAAGGAAAATTATATCTGTACTATTTTTAAACGTTCCTTGCTCTATCCGAGGAAAAAATTGAAGAAAAACTTTGGAGTATCTTCTGAAATTTTAAAAATTATTTACTTTATCTTCAAGCAGAATTTACGCAGAAACTACTGTTTTTCCAAAAATATATATGATCTTTTTTAAACATCTGATGTTTTAGAACAGAGTTTTTAAGATAAAAATCGCTATCTTTAGTACTGAACTCTTCCAATGTTATTTTCTGGCAATTTTCGAAAATAAGAAAGTTCTGTGAAAATGGGATCAGCACTTTTTTTTTTAAAATGGCCTATATTTCAAAGAAAACTACCAAGATTTTCGAAACATGACTTTACTTCAAGATTGTCTTTCTAGAACAGATTATACACGAAAAAAATGTATATTTTCAATATTATAGTTGTACGAAGACGCTGAAAAAAATTTAAATATTTACAATTTTCTGAAAATACGGGATTTCAACGAAAATGAGACCTGAAAAATTCTTTCGGTCTTTATACTATTCCAGGACAAAGTTTAATAACAAAATTGAAGCCATTTCTGAGAAAATTTTGAAAATGCTGACGAGGCTTCATGTGAAGTACCCCCAAAATAAAATATCCGTTTCAAACTCGCGGGGCATCGAGTTCCTCTACATCAATACGGGGATATAATTTGAGAGAAAATTGCCTGAAAGGTTTACGCGCTAGCGCTGACCAAAGACGAACGGACTGACATTTTGCCATCATTCAATTTTTCAGTATCAAGGATCAATAAATCATGGATTCTAAGTACACAATAGAGGATAGAGGAAGTAATTTGATACATACAGGAACATTATTTATCTATTTCGTAACCAAGGTCCGACAATTAGAGTTTTTTGTTCAAAAATCGCCAATTTCTGCCGTTCTATTACAATACTTCCCTTTTGCCACATAAGTAGTAAATTGAGAAAGAAAAAATTGTCAATTAGATCATTTTAACACTAGTTTCTTCTACGGAACAATACTAAATTTGGGTGTTTGAAATGTTGCATAAACTGCTTAAATGGTAATTTTCACAATTCAATTTAATCTGCGTGCCTTAATATGTACTAATACTCCAAGCTACTTGGCTGTCGCCGCGACATTACGTTCTGTTTGTTAACGATACTGTGATTATGAGAAGATTAGTGAAGTAAGGCACAAGACTAGTCAACATATTATGTATATTAACACACTTAATAGTTTCATAAGCTTTTTAAATGTTCACCTTAGCTCGTTTGGCAAAATGGCAACTGTAATGTCGGCAACGATTTGGTAATATGGCAATTTGGAACTCATATGTGTAAATCCCACTGTGATGCTGGCGAAACACAGCGCCATCTGCGGAGGCGGGGCCGGCGGCTGTGGGGGAGCGATGGCGGTCTCATATCGCACCCACCCGCGCCTCTCGCAGCAGCTGTTGCACGGTAGGAAAGCCGGAAGCGCCGGAACAGTGTCCGCAGGGTTTCCCGCCTAAAGCGCCGCCTCAGGGCTTCCGCGCAAATGCCCCAATCTGGCGGCGCGGCGTTTTTGGTTCCTGATGAAATGGAGCGCTATAGAAACACGGCGCCGGTGTTGCTGCTCCTCCAGAAGTTCGCCCAGTTCATTTGCGGCGAGAGGCAGTGAATGCAGCCGAGAAGAGGCGCGTTAATGGAAATGTACGAAGAGCGATTCATGTAAAGCCTTTCCCGCCGCACTGCCTGTGGATTCTAGAGAGGATTTGCATGAGTTAACTATTTCATCCAGCACTCCAATGAGTTAGACTTCAGGAATATTCTGTGCAAACGAAGCAACAAAAGTGGAGAAGCTTTCCATTTTCTGAAGCCCCTAAACAAATGAAGCTCCTCAACGTACCTGCGTCCTTAGCGATTTCGTGAAATCACTCACGTCGATACAAAAATGGATCTTAGAGTTCTGTCAATATTAAGCGTTCTAAAATGTACTGTACTATAAATAAGGATGATTTAAAAGTAAACCAGCCCTCCACATTCAGAATGAATGGGCAAATTTGGTCTGTAGACTGAGAAGGTAAGTTGATTGACCACCAAATTAATAGAGTAAATATTCAGCGTCTTATAAAAGTTCATTTGGCAAGGGCATGGCTATTATATAGAGTTACTTTTTATTTATTCAACATCAAAAAACAGAGGAACTGAATGAGAAATTTGGAGGGTCACTATTTAGAAGAAAAGCAAGATATCGTAAATAATTATTCTAAGTAGAGTTGTGATCAAAGCAAATTAGACGAATTTTAAAGCACAAGTAAAAATCTGCTTAAGAGAAAATAGTATACATTGTCGTATGATTCAATAAAACAGAAACAGAGTTAAAATTGAAATAGTGCTAAATAATTAGTAGAGAACAATAAAAAAGTAGTCCAGAGACTGAACTGCTGAGAGAGGTCACCTTATTGATCAGCCATGGAGAGATCAGTATTTTCAACCATTTTGGACAAAAACAAAAACAATTTTTCAATTGCTTCACAGCCAAAGCTTTTACAGAAATTCAAGAGAAAATAGATAGAGCTTTTAGAGGAATTGATTTCATAATTTGATATCGACACATTTGTTTGTGAAAATTCGTTATTTTTTGAAATACAATTATGAATATCCTATATAGGCTACGAAACAAAAATCCAATGACGTGAATACAGTCATAAAAATAGCTTAATTTAACAACACATAACTCAAAATTTGACCGTTTAAAGATTTCACCCAAAAGACACATAACCTACTCTAAGGACACATATAACTGAAATTTACTAGAAATTTATTAAAATAACGGAAATTTGTTATATTTTGATTAGTTTGTGGCGAAAAGGTTGCAGTTTTCTACATCTTACGAAAATACACAATTTGTGAGGTATGAGATGTTAATCGCCATCGCCAATGCCATCGATATATTAGGAACAAATTTCAAACAAATTTTCAGTTTTTTTCTATACCAGCTAAAAAGTTTTGAAGGTTTTTCAATCTTACTGCCCCACTAACTATGAACAGGCAAGGACCCGAAGAACAGTAGAGTGAATACGTGTAAGCTGCTTTTCAAATAAACCTTAGATTCCTTAATATTCTTTGACATGATTTTGATAAGGAACTGAGTCCAATGAATTTCTTCCCGAAGAAAATAACCAAGATTATTGATAATTATGACTGAGTTATGGTAGACAACGACTGATCGATATAAAAAGGCTGCTTGATGAAAACTCTCGCACATTTTGCAAAATTCCTCAACCGGAAGCCACGCGATCACCGACGACTCTCGCAAATAAAAATTCTATTCTCAGGAAGCGTCACTGGCAAGAGAAGCAAGAGTTGAAGCCAAATTTGAAATTCAATTTTTTTACGTCATGAATATCATAGAAGACAAACTTTCTCCCAAATTTATGCAAAGCTTCCCTGGGATTTATTCGCTAATACCTGACTGAAGAATAAAAATATTCCAACTCATATGCACACTGCGAAATTAAATCCGAGGGATGTGGACCAGACTACAGCATTTGATAAAAACGCGTGTCTGCATTGAAATTCCTAATATCCTTTCTCCTTCTGGTTTTGGTGCGTAGAGTTTAGGGAATGTCTCAATAAGCTCAATGTTATCTCGACCGTTTGAAACTGGTTTTGTAGCCTTCAATATTCGTAATATGTCATTGTAAAAGCGGCAAGAAAGACAATGGTTAACACGGAAGGATAATTGAGTAATTTTAAGGAAAACATACGCAAGTAATTCATAAATATAGAACGCAGAATATAAAAAATAAATTTCTGATTAATACAGAACGGAGAGGCAGTGAAATGATAATTAGCATTTGCTATTTTTTATGCTGAAAGATAAATACAATTTTCTGTGTCCATGATGAACAACAAAATAATATTGATTATGTGCAGTGTATTTTACAACGTGCTTAGAGATGCAAAGCATTGTGATTTTCAGCTTCTACCATTTCTAAAACAAGTCGCGAGTAAAGCTAAATAAGCTAATTGTACAAGATAATTAAACTTACCAACATTAAAAGAACCTAGGATATACACTTAAAAAAGACATGGAGTTCACAAATATGTATAACAAAAATTAAGTAAATACGCTAAACATTTTTTACATTACATTTTCCACATAATTTACGTGCTTGAAAAATCCTTTACAGTACCGTAATTGTAAGAGTACAATTGATTTACATGGGATATATACACTGATGTTATGTTTACTTTTGCTTATGCGTATATTGATATTGTTTATATTTACGGTCGTTAAAGATTCTCCATAGGCTCTAAATGTAGGGCAGGGGATCAAGACGTACGTTTCAGCAGATATAGCGATGAGTGTTTATGATACTTTTCATAAAATGAAATAAATAGTTAAAAGCAATATTATACGTCTGGGTAGGTAATGTACATGGCATTTGTTTCTATAATTTAATTAGTCTGGAATATCCCTGATGCACCCGGCGCTTTTTATTGCGGGGGTGCACCTCACGGGTGCAGAGAGGCGAGCAGGTCATCGCGTCGCGTCCGCGCTCTGCACATCGCCGCGCTTGTGCCGTGGCCACGCGCGACGCCCCGACGGGAGCGTGTTCTGGGGTGGGGAACAACCGGAGGAGCGGAGCAGGCCGATCCGACGGGCGGACGTACGGCCGGATAGAGACAAAATGCCACCCGAGCAACGAGCTACAGGCGGCACAAGAGCTCATTTTCATGTAAGACTGGTACACTAGATATTTTCTGAGGAAGATGACAGTTCCATTTCCAAAAGTTTTAAATTAGCGAACTTAGTGCAACTGATGATACTCAGCCTTCGCAGACTGTCTTATAAAGTAAAAAGGTCAATTATTTAAATATAATGCACCGATGTTTAGGCTCCAAAACGGATGCATATACAGTTATGCTAAAATACCGCGATATATACTACAGTTCTAATTTATATTGTTAATCAAGATATAATTGTGAGTCACACATTACAGATTTATTGCCCTGTAAATTAAGACATATAAAACATTATTACAAAGGAAGGAAAAATTAACAGGAAACATAGAGAGCAGATTATTGTTTTTAATCCCTGGGCGAAAGCATTCCAAATATAAATATTTATACCTTGGGACAATTATTACTTTATATAATTGTATGTACTGTAACATTTCTTAAACATTTAAAAAGTTATAAGTACAACAGTAAAGAAAATGGAAATGACTAATAATCATCTTGAAAAGTTCTATTTAATAGGCGAAAACTTGATGAGATTTACAGTGAGTGACCCAATTGAGACATGCACAATGAAGAAGCATGCATAAAAATGGTGAAAAGCGCCTGGTGGCGTGCGCAGGCAGTGTATGCAGATGCACTTCCTACTGTTCGGGCTTGGACTCGAACTCTCGGATCCGCCTGCAATGTCTTCGATAAGAATCTAACCGAGTATGGAATTGGACATCAAATTACCATGTTGTAACTGCGAATGTTCCTTCAGAATAGAGTCTTTCTGAATGCCTCGAAGGGGAATGCATTCATTCCTAGATCGCGAAAGGAGACCCAATTAACCGAAACGGAATAAGTTGCCATAAGACGCAACTTCTATTAAGAAATGCAAATTGGAAATAGTTGACACACGCTTCCTCCCACTGAAACTCATACAGCAGAGAAACTTAAAGAGCTTTAGCGTTGCAATCGGAAGTTACCAGCAGTGCTTCGTAACCACGTGTCTCTACAGTAGTTCATCAGCTCGTTTCCTCTTTATAATCTTCCCCAACACAATCTCTACCACTGATTCCCAAGTTCAGATAGCTTCAAATGCTGCCAAATCCTTCAAATTGAATAGTACATTGACTTATATACACGTACATACTGACTTATATACGTGTTAATACTTGTGAATTTGCGTAAATGAAGGACTTGTCACAGGTGCTACAGGAAGCACACATACTATACTATACAGTGAGTTAGGCAAGTTAACTCTACCCAAAAGTAATATTATTGAATTTACTATGAGATAAACTTAAAAAGGTTTCTTAAAAAGCTCTGATAATAAATTTTAATTTTGAACATATCAAGCTGAACTTATGCAAATTGTAATGACCCTCTAAATTAAAAAATAAAGTAATTAAACAAACCAAGCTGATGTACTATCAAAATGTGGAATGTTTTTTTTCCCTTTTGCCTACGTATTTGAATCTTCATGTTAAGAAAGAATGATTGTATTTCCGTGTATAGTTGCGAGTGGTGTGCGTGGACCGCCCCGCCCTGCGCACGCAGGCCGGCCGGCCGGCGCCCGAAGGCCACTCACCGCGTCGGCAGCTTGCCTTACCCGCGCGTCGACGGGCGACTGGCGGCTGTTGCAGTTGTGGTTGACGGGTGACGCCGCCTCCTTCTGCAGCTTCAGCACCTCCATGGACAGGTGCAGGCGCATGGGCTGCGGCCGGCTCTTGCCGTCGCTCACGCTCACCATGCCGCTGCGCACCTGCGTTACGACGCGTTCTTTAATGAAAGGGCACTCGTGCCGGCAAACGCGGTAAAATATCGTCATGCTAATTAGCAAACCTCGCAACTCCATCTTCTCTCCTCTAATTTGTGTTTACATCACGATAAAATATAATTATGAAAGAAGAGTAATAAATAAAAGTAAACAACAAATCGACCATTTTAAATAATTGGGTTCCCCAGTATTTATAATTTCAACAAACAAAGGAAACTAAAATTCTGCTTCCCGGCTATGTTTGTTTCTTTCATTGCGCAACTGTCCAATCTGGAGTTACGAGGTATGCTAATTAGTATGACGTTGTATCAAAATGCATGAAAATGAACCAGCACGCTTTAACTCAGAACCTGCATTGCCACTGTCTCTGAAGCGGCTCTGATCAGGAGGTCCTGGATTCGAGACCTGAAAGTAAAGAATTTTCCACAAAAGCTGGATAAGTCGGTAGAATTGATAATAAATAAATAAAAATATTTTTATGATATTTCTATCTTATCCTACACAGTTCACACAACCACATGTTATCTACACATGATTCTGCTGGGTTTGTATATAACTGATTAATTTAGTGTACCTTTTATATATTAAATGAAACATAATAATAGACAGTAGCCTTTGAAATATCACTAAGATCGTGAATAATTAATAGTGAATAATTATGTATTCGACGTTTGTGCAATGAAAACTAACAGAAACAAGATTTTATAACTTGAAAATCAACCCTTCTCGTAAATCGATAAAATTCATATCAACTACAGATTTTACCCTCGGATGTCCCCCATACCATCTACTTTATGCCATATTTCGTTTTCATCACATCGCGTGGCCCGACATGTGTACCCACAGTAATCTGGTCACGAGCCATCAGCTCGATGGGCAATTACGTCCAGAGCTAACATTCGCCGCTGACATGAAAAAATAATCTCCCTTCGCCACTCGCATTACACACATAGCTACACATGGCAACTGATTTACACATCGCGGCCAAATCTGCGAGCCCAGGGGGCGTTCTGACGCCGGACGTCCAAGGCGCGTTGGGGAATTTGTCTCTCGCCGCACCCTTCCGGAGGAAATCGCGGACAGCGCCTCTCAGGCAAGTAAATTGCGAGCGCAGCAGCCATTTAAACGGAGGGGCGGGCGTGATAATGGAAGAGACAGTAGGAGATGAGAACGATAAAGAAATGAATAAATGAATTTAAGAATCCAATCCAGAATAACACGAGCTCGGATGTTATTTTTCAAAAAACGTATTGCTCCAAGGTGGTTCAATAGCTTCTTTAAGAAACATTCCCTCACTAAAACAAGATAATTATAAAATCATAAATATTTATTGTTTTGAATTTAAATCATCGCTTCTAATTGATAAAATACATGTTTGCATCAACTTTTAAGAAGATCTTTTCACATAAAATAACAATCACGAATTACACATAAAATAACAACCATCAACTATTAAGTAAAAAAAATCACTGGTTGGTTGACTTGGCCAACCAGATTCGTTTAGTTACGAAATTATTTAACTTCAAATAAAAATAAGATTTATTGGACCATTCTGAAAGACATCAGAGATCATTTAATCGAGAAAATTAATTAATTAATAAGTAGTGATGAAAATTATGAAGGGAATTAATAGCCTTAAATAGGTATTACATATTTGAATCTTTAGAACACGAGACACTACAAATATACAAATGTGATCCGAATTGCCTTTTAACTATTTTTCGAGTTTCCCAAACGGAAACATTTTTTGTAGAAAAAAAAATCATAAAACCAATCAGAGGTGACAGTTCTTGCGCACACACAAGCAATCTGTGTCGTCCGCCTACCTCGACTGGCATTTTAGGCAACTGCGCATGCGCGGGGAATGCCGGAGATGCGGTGGCGGCGCTGGCACGTGACGCTGACAAACGACACGCGCGCAGCGCGTAAACAGCGGCGCATCGACCAGCGACCGCGCCTAATGAGAGCGCAGCGCGTTCGTCAATTATTAAGCGGCGTCTGCATCGGCGGGGCGATCGACAGGGCCCGCAGAACGAGCGATGTGAGCAACGCGGGCGGCGCTGCGAGCCTCGCAATTGCATTCGACATTAGCCACGTCCTCTGCGGACAAGAACGCTCAAATGAAAGAGGAATGCGCGGCTGGTTCTGCAGGAAATAACAACAATTCCAGCTGAAACATCTCGAGAAGGACCAATGACAATGTAGGCAACTAATTCTCAGCTCAATTGGTTGATTGTTTATTAGAATGACAGTTGGCAGGTGAATGAAAACAAAACGAACAAACAGAAAAGTTAAAGCGATAATAGAATAAGATAGTATCCTCATATGAAATGGAAGTTCTCAATAATAGTATCGCAATCTGTCGATGGGGTATGCATACTGAGAGAGGGGGAACAATGATGAAACGCAATTTAAAACGAAATTAGCGGATTAATCGTTGGGAGCCAGAGCTTAAACTGTGGAATCCGTGCGGAATTTCTAGTAGTTGACGCATCTGTCGTGTAGCTGAAAAATATATTTTATGATTAATTTCTCTTACATTTTAATCTTAGAATGTATATTATAGTTCACGACAAAAGCCCCTTCTACGCAAGTAATATGTCCAAGTTCATTAAGTTCGTCCACATTAAGTTCGCTCTGCTTTTATAACGAGTGAGATATTTTTAATTAATAATTGAAAAAAATGCTTAATAGAGGTACTATTCAATACAAAACTATTATAAAATATTTTTATATTATAAATTTATCACACAAAGAACGTGCACAAAATCAAAACTGTTTCAATTGATAATGAAAGGCATTATTTACACGCATTTTACGACATACGACGATAATATAGGCATTATTTGCACATCATTGTACAAATAAAATGTACGTGTTCTTTCGTAACGTTATATTACTCCAATATAAAAACATTTTATCAATACAAAAAGTAAATTTTAAAACAATCACAATGCAAAGTACAGAAAACAGCTGCACTATAGCAGCCAGTTTCGTATGTTTCCAGTCTGCTTCTTCGTAAGCAAACAGGCGAGGCGAAACGAAGGAAATGACACCAGCATAGAAACTCTCATCGCAAAGTCACCTGTATTGATTTGAAGGGATCTTCGTATCTCTATTCTGCATCAAATGGTTTCGAAATCTCCAAATGCGTTGAAATCTCGATCCCCGTATGCGCTGGAGAATTGATGAATCTCCCGAAACTTTCCGGGAGGCCTCCGGACCTCGTTAAGTCAAGCGGAAGGGCAGCCGGGGCGCGCGGTCTGCCAGACATCCATCGCCTGGAGTGGCGCTCAAAACTTGGAGGCATTCATCATATGAAGACAGCGCCAGCCAGGGAAAGTCGACGAACTTCCCCACACTTCCACACACAACATTCGTCTAGCATCCACCCTCTTCAGTTGCAGCCCCAAAACATCTCCTCAGCACTCTCGAAAACGTGCGGGGCGGTGCAGGGAAGGGCAGCGGGGGCGGGGCGGGGAGGG